AAACATAATTTATATTCATAATCAATACATATAAATATCAAGTATAAAAAAAAAAATTGTAACACCAATCATGTCCGCACATGCGTGCAGACCAATATCTTAGTGTCTTTTTACACCCAAAACTCATTTTGGAGCTGACACGTAAGCGAAACACTGTAAAAATTGATGTGAATGCGACACGTAAGCAAATCACTACACAAATAAGTATATAGATTATTCAAAAAATATATATTTCATTCCTTAATCATATTTATTAAGATATTTATTAGCCAATCAAATAGAATAAAAAGATTCGAGATTTAGTTATATCATATTAATTGTTTTCTTATATTCAATCTTTATTCGATTATATAATATGAAATATTTTTAAATCATTATATTTCTTTTATTCTTTTTTTTTACTTTTCTTTTCTGAATTAATTATCACATCAAATATATAATAAATTTATGTTTTATGCATATGCGATAATTTGAATTTTGAAAAAACAAAAAAAAATCTCAAAAGTTTTTATTTAATAAGATATATTAATTTTTCAGTTAAAAAATAAACTATACAATTACATTCATATTAAAAATAAAAATGAAAATCAATAGTAAAATCTTATATTGATATTATATATTTTTAATTGCAATACTAATACAAATCATATTATTACTTATCATAGTACTATTAACATACATATTAAATTAATTAAATTATTTATATTTAAAATAAACTAAATCATGTTTCGTAAAATATTTTATAGATACTTCATGCGGTGCATGACATAAAAAATATTTGTTTATGATTGAAAAATATTTAATTAAAACTATGCATTCAATATTTCTATCGATTATTTTCTGATTTTTATACTTTCAGAAAAATTATTGTAGTTTAACCATTTAAAAACAATATTCAAGATAAAAACAAAAATCCTATTTTTTGCAAAAATATCAGTTAAAAAAATTTCAAATATAATGCAGATGGAATTTGGTTGTTACCTAATATAGTTATCAAATATATTTTGTATTTATTTCTATTTATTATTGATTATTTTTTAAAATTCTAAAAATCTATATAACATAATTTAGAATCCCTACGATTAGTCTTATATAAGAAGAAATGTATTCCATAACATGTTACTCATCATTTTTTTAAAAAGTAGCATTTTGACCTAATTATAATATTTGTTAGCCATAAATCTTTTTTCTAACTCAATCTCTGATTTAAAACTATTAAAAAATATTTAAAAAATAAGGGTGAATATCATAAGACTTTGCAAAAAAAAAATATACCAAGTTGTTGTTGGTCTAACAATTGAGAGTGTTGTAATTGATTTCAAAAGTTAGTTATTTATTTCATTTAATTTTATCATTCCTATTATTTTAGGGTAAAAAGGATGGGGGATTATTGGGAGTTGGATTTATAAAGATTTTGGTTAATTTTAAAAGTCATGAAATCCTCCCCCAAACTTAAATCACACTGCCCCCAGTGTGAAATAAATTAGGCAAGGATGAGAAATAGAGTATGTGAAAGATTTAAAAAGATTAAGGAAAAGAAAACTTACCTGGTGGTGGTGATGATTGATCAAACTTGGATGCTAGGGATCCAAAACTGATTTGAACAAGGTGGTGGTGGTGAAAGTGGTCAAGGATGAATTTGCGGTGGCCAAGGATGAATTGGAGGTGGCTGAGGGTGGATGGAAGTGGCCAAGGTGGAACAGATGTGGCCAAGGTGGCCGGCTGTGCTGGCCGCGGGTCGGAGCTTCGCGGCCGCAGTAGGACGCGTGCCGACCACGGTTGAGGACGTCGCGGCTGCGCTAAAACACCTGCTGATCGCGGCCGAACCTCCTTTGGCCACGGGCAGCCCCTGTTCTTCTCTTTTTTTTTATGGCATACTAAGGTCTGTCTAAAATAAGAAAAAACAAAACTTTTAAAGAAAAAGAAAGTTTAAACAAAAACAAATAAGTACCTAAAATGGGTTGCCTACCATCAAGCGCTTTGGTTTATAGTCCTTTGCAAAGAAAAAAACTTATTTCAAATAGGATCTTGTCCTAAGACAAATCCTTTTCAAAATCCTCTTGTTCTGTCTTGCAGGTTCTTCATCACTCCAGAGTTATTCTGGTTCAAATGCCTGGGCTATTTGCTCTCCTCTTTTGCTCTTAAGTGGTGTAGCTTCATAGAAGATGTCCTTGTCGATATTGGCAAAGGAAACTCGCCTATTAGGCCAATCCATGATGGCTCCGGCAGTTGCTAAGAAAGGCCATCCAAGAATAACTGGATAAGAGTCATCTTTGGTCTTCACTATGTATAAATTGATAGGTGCAATGCAATCTCCAATCCTTAGAGGAATGTCTCGGGCTATCCCTCTTGGTGTTGCACTTGAATCATCTGCTAAGCTAATCTTTGTCCTGGTACTTGTGATCTGCTCAAAGTTTAATCCCTAAGCTACTCTGCAAGAGCACAGATGTGCAGTTGTAGTATTTCAGGGGTCGAACCACAGAGACGAGAAATTCACTCAATAAACCAATTAGACTTGAATGACGCTAAGCAGAATAATGCAAATCGAAATAACAAAGCAATAGAAAACGTTTAGAAAACTCGGATGGATGAAAATTAGGCTTAGGGCGTTTCTCAGGAAATCAAAGAATGCAGATCAAACGATTAGTCAGGGTTCAGGTTTAAGCACGGTTCTTGAACTCGAATCACAGAATTATAATTAACCAACTTCCGTTGTGAGAATTATCTAAGTTAAAATCCTAGAATTCCTTTGCAAATCCTACAGATTTAAACCAGCTTTAATGCACAAGTTCGATATGTTCACAAAGTATCTAAACCAAATTCCTTTGCGAATAGCTACTTTGCTCACCCTAGGTTCTTTCTAGTTATTCAATTACACTTCCGTGTCAATCAATTAACCTAAGATCTAAGTTCTAGGTGGCCAGTCCAGAATTAGCTTTAAGAACAACCTATAGTGAAGAACTAAATAGATTATGAACCCTAACTAAATCAATTAATCAAACATCCAGAGAAAATCCTTTATGAGAACCCTAAACCTAACAAACAAACTACTCAGACATGAAGATTGAAGCAATAAACATGATTGAATAGATTGCAGAAAGCAGTAAATAGTTAAATAAACAGGGGTTCGAAATCTTCTCTCTCCGGAACAGAGTTTCAGACTTGTCTCTCCAAAAACTCTCAAAAACAAAAGTCCTCTCTAAAAAAATCTAAGGTCTCGATATATGGTGGCTAAAACCCCTATTTATAACTTAAAAACACGTTTTGGGCTTTCTTGTAATTATTTGGGAACTTCTAGGCCCAACTCCTTCTTCAAACAGGAAACAAAATCACGTTTTCCTTATTTCTGCAACAAGTGTCGAGCGTCACTCTCCATGGTGTCGAGCGACACTAAAGCACAAAATCCATCCTTGACGAATTTGATCCTTGTTTAGCTCCAAAGTGCTCCAAAATTACCAATTAAGCTCCAAACGTACCTATGACCTGTAAAGACTCCAAAAGACTCGAAAAACACTAGAAAGACTCTATAAATAAGACCTATACCATGGTTTAAAACTATAAAAACCATGATATATCAACTCCCCCAGACTTAGCAGTTGCTTGCCCTCAAGCAAACAGAATACCAAATAAGAGAAAGAGGTTTGAAAATACGGAGACTCAACCTTTCATTTGAACATCGCTTTGACCGATCACCCTACAACTCAACTACTGCTTCATCATTCCAAATCAAACCACCATGTACTTCTCCGCAAACATTCACAGCTTTCCAGATTAAATCTAAAATTCCACAACATTGTCCATAAACAATCATTGTTGGATCTCACTGATGATTCAGATGCCAAGAACCTTCTAGACTCTTTCCCGTACTATACTCAAACAAATCAGCCATACACACTTTGGTACTTTTCTCTCCCCCAGACTTATTTTTTTTCGCACACTCATCATCTCTTTTTTTTTATGGCGTATACACGTTAAGGTTAAAGATGCGAGTACTGATGGTGTTTGCCATCGAGTCCCCGAGTTGTCCCCTTACCTTGTATCAAAGGGTTTCAGCGAATAATGGGTCATAGGAAACTTTCCTACCCCTCGTTTCCTTCCTTTGTGTGATCATTCCAACTTAGAAGTGAAATAATGAGATCCTTGGAAATTTTCCTAGCCCTTCACTCCTAAGCGAAAATCATCTCAATCTTTTCGCCTTTTTTTTTTCTTTCTTCTTCTTCACCTTTTAGCTCGTCACAGGGAGAGAAACACCAGCATTAAGTTTCACACAGGCTTTCATTTGTCAAGTATGAACGAGGAATCAAGCTCTATGAACATCAGTCACATCAATGAGGTAAAGGAAAGAGTTCAGAGATTAGCTCAGGTTAGTGGATTCTGTTGGAAACATGGACGCCTCTAGTCAACTGGTCAGCCTTTGGATTTTTCATTAGTCTCATCTAGACTGAATCTGCAGCAGTGGTCACTTAGATGAAAGGTCAGCACAATAATTCGAGGAAAAGCATCATAATCTCCAACAGGTTTTGACTCAAAAACGTTTTGACACGACTGACTCTTAAGAAAAACAAACACAATGTCAGCAACTACCTCCCCCAGACTTAAACAACACTGTCCTCAGTGTTATCTAGTCCGAAGTTGGTGAAACAAAAGAAAGGAAACAGAGAAACGCAGGAAAAACAGAGAACTTACCTGGCTGCAATGATGGTGTCAAGCGACACTGATGATGGTGTCGTGCGACACTTGTTCTTCTCGTACCAAATTGCAGCAGACCACTCCAAATTTCTGGTTCGACTCCGGTTTTCTGATTTCCTAATTTTTTTTTTTTTTGACTGGTGTCGACCGACACTGATGGTGGTGTCGCTCGACACTAACCACTTCGTATCTGTTACACCTAAAACACAAAAACGAAAATCAAAAGAAACAAAAAGACTTATGTACAGACTTACCAGTGGGTTGCCTCCCACCAAGCGATTGTTTTAAGTCATTAGCTTGACTTGGATAGACTATGCATCTGGTGGATCAGACAGTGGCAAAGAATGCCTCTGTGAAAGTCGTCTCATCCATGGTGGTGTGTAGGCATTGTGCGCATGAGGTCGTCCAAGGAATACAGGAATAGCACTAAGGTGAGATCTGTGTTTGGACCACTTTAACCTATTCCCTACAATATCATCAATCAAAAAACCAAATGCCCTACGATAATCTCGTAGCTTGCGTCGTGAGACAGAGTCTGCATCTTTCAAATCAGTTTTGATGATATCACAAGTATTAGGATTAGGCTCAAGAAGTGCGTACCTTTGCTTTGGTGGAGATGAATGGAGCATTAAGTTTTGAGATTTCTGCTCAATAGCAACTACTGGTTCTGTAGACGTCTTAGTCAACTCAGATTGATCTATCACCTTCTCAGCATCAAGCACGTTCTGATCTCCAACTATCACTTCAGGTATTACACTGACTTGGAATGTCTGACCATCTATGGTGGGATCCTTCAGCTTCTCCATCTTGAAAGTCATGATGGTATCTCTCAGGTGGAGATCAAGGTTACCATGCTTGACATCAATTACTGCTCCAGCTGTAGCTAAAAACGATCTTCCCAGGATAAGAGGATCTTTGGGTTCCTCTCCATATTCCAGAACCACGAAATCTGTAGGAATTACGCAATCACCAACTTTAATCGGAAAATCCTCCAAGACAACTTTTGGGATTCTTTTAGATCGATCTGCTAGGATTAGAGAGATCTTAGTTGGTTTGAAATCAGTCGTTCCAAGGCTTACAGCTACAGAGTATGGCATGAGGTTAACACTCGAACCAAGATCACACAGCGATCTCTTGAACCTCTCTGAGAAGATAGAGAAGTCTAAAACAAAGCTTCCTGGGTCCGAAAGTTTCTCTGGAATCTTATTCTGAATCACAGCACTGACCTGTTCAGAAATCATCATCATTCCTTCCTCATGACTCAGATTATTAGTCACCATCCTCTTCACATAGTGTCTGAGAGTAGGAGCAATCTTCACAGCATCAACCAAAGGAATCTCAATCACAAGCTTTTCCATCAAAGCTTTGCATCTAACATCATCTAGTGGACTTCCTAGGACTCCTTGGGTAAGGAACCTTAGGTTTGTAGACTATTTCTTCTGTTGGTTTCGGATTCTGAACAACTTCAGCTTCTCTCTGCGATTGGTGTCGTGCGACACTAGTTGTGGTGTCGCTCGACACTGGCTCTGCAATTTCGAAATTTTCTTCAGATTCATCAAACTCCACGATTTCATCCTCAGAAATACCCTTTTTAAACACAGGACTCAACTTTTTACCACTCCTTAACGAGATGGCACTGCAGTAATGCCTAGGATTGGTATCAGTCTTCCCAGGAAAGAATCCTTCTTGCCTTTTTACAGACTCTGCAGTTTGAGCAACCTGAGTATTAAGCTTCTTGACATGAGTGTTCAGAACTTCAATTTTTCCATTCAGATCCAGATACAGAGCATCAATCTTCCCATTGAAATCCACAGTCATCTTCTGCTGACCTTCCAGTATCTGTTCCAGCATAGACTTCACCTCATTATCAGGAGTTTGAGTAGGAGGAGAACCATAGTTCCTTGAAAAACTGTTGTTGGAGTAGGATGTCTGGTACTGAGGTTTGGAGTTATAACCAGAAAAGTTCTGATTACCTGTGAAGGTACTCCTCTGATTATTTCCACTATAATTCGTGTTCCCTCGCTGAGTACCAAATCTCTGACCCTGAAATCCAGCTCCATTGATGAAGTTAACATCCTCTTCCTCAAGTGCTTCATCTGGTTCGAAATTCTTAACCTCTGCAGCATATCGGACGGACTTCTTACCCACTAAAAGGCTATGCACAGAGTCAAGCTTAGCCTTCACCTCAGCAATCTGCGATCCATCCATGTTTCCACCCTGCTTCTTTCGCTGATAGTCTGCATTCTTGGTACTATTGCTAGATGCCAAGTTCTCAATAAGCACAACAGCGTCTTCAAGGTATCTGGTGTTGAAATTCCCATTGCTTGCAGCATCAAGAGCCCTCTGATACCTCCAATCAACACCCCTGAAGAAAATTCCCAACAGCTGCACATCGCTGAAACCATGATGGGGGCAATCTCGCTGGTACGACATGAATCTCACCCAAGCAGCTTTGAACGCCTCAGTTGGTCCCTGAGAAAACGTTGAGATTTTGAGTCTCAGTTCCTCAGACCTGGCATCATCATAGAAGTTATGCAGGAAGGCGTTCCTGGTCTCCTCCCAAGTAGTTAGTGATCCTGGCTCTAACTGCTTCAACTAGTTAGCTGCTTCTCCAGCAAGAGAGTAAGGAAACAACTTGCAGAAGAGGAAATCATTGGACACTCCATTGTACTTGATGCTGGTGACCAAGTCCTCAAACCTCTCAATATGATCCATCGGGTGGTCATGAGAATGACCATGGAAAGGATGCTGAACCACAAGAGTGTAATACACAGGCTTGAGCTCAAAATCGTTCCTCTGAAACGCAGGAGCGCGAATCGCAGACCGATATGCATAGAATTGCTCAGGCCTATTGTAGTCACCCAGCGTCCTGATGATGTTACCCTCTCCATCAAGTCGCTGGCCTCTCTCATTGCACACATGACCCTCTTGGTCTCTCCAGACTCCAACATCATCACGAACCAATGCAAATGCGTTCTCCATCTCTGCTGGTTTCTGAGACAAAGAGAAAGAGCAATGTAGGAAACAAAATAAAAATAAAATTAAGAAAAACGTTGGGTGTCGCGCGACACCAATGCTGGTGTCGCTCGACACTAAGAAAAACTTAGTCAAAACTCAAGAACTAAAGTTTAATGGCAAAAATCAAGTCCCCGGCAACGGCGCCAAAACTTGATCTGCTCAAAGTTTAATCCCTAAGCTACTCTGCAAGAGCACGGATGTGCAGTTGTATTATTTCAGGGGTCGAACCACAGAGACGAGAAATTCACTCAATAAACCAATTAGACTTGAATTACGCTAAGTAGAATAATGCAAATCGAAATAACAAAGCAATAGAAAACGTTTAGAAAACTCGGATGGATGAAAATTAGGCTTAGGGCGTTTCTCAGGAAATCAAAGAATGCAGATCAAACGATTAGTCAGGGTTCAGGTTTAAGCACGGTTCTTGAACTCGAATCACAGAATTATAATTAACCAACTTCCGTTGTGAGAATTATCTAAGTTAAACTCCTAGAATTCCAAATTCCTTTGCAAATCCTACAGATTTAAACCAGCTTTAATGCACAAGTTCGATATGTTCACAAAGTATCTAAACCAAATTCCTTTGCGAATAGCTACTTTGCTCACCCTAGGTTCTTTCTAGTTATTCAATTACACTTCCGTGTCAATCAATTAACCTAAGATCTAAGTTCTAGGTGGCCAGTCCAGAATTAGCTTTAAGAACAACCTATGGTGAAGAACTAAATAGATTATGAACCCTAACTAAATCAATTAATCAAACATCCAGAGAAAATCCTTTATGAGAACCCTAAACCTAACAAACAAACTACTCAGACATGAAGATTGAAGCAATAAACATGATTGAATAGATTACAGAAAGCAGTAAATAGATAAATAAACAGGGGTTCAAAATCTTCTCTCTCCGGAACAGAGTTTCAGACTTGTCTCTCCAAAAACTCTCAAAAACAAAAGTCCTCTCTAAAAAAATCTAAGGTCTCGATATATGGTGGCTAAAAACCTTATTTATAACTTAAAAACACGTTTTGGACTTCCTTGTAATTATTTGGGAACTTCTGGGCCCAACTCCTTCTTCAAACAGGAAACAAAATCACGTTTTCCTTATTTCTGCAACAAGTGTCGAGCGTCACTTTCCATGGTGTCGAGCGACACTAAAGCACAAAATCCATTCTTGACGAATTTGATCCTTGTTTAGCTCCAAAATGCTCCAAAATTACCAATTAAGCTCCAAACGTACCTATGACCTGTAAAGACTTCAAAAGACTCGAAAAACACTAGAAAGACTCTATAAATAAGACCTATACCATGGTTTAAAACCATAAAAACCATGATATATCAACTTGAGATATGCTTAATACCAAATCTCAAAGCAGTTGCTTTGGACATCATGTTAATGCAAGCTCCAGAATCACAAAGAATATTGAGGAATCTTTCACCTCTGATGTCACAAGAGATAAGAAACTGACCTTTGTCTTGAACTTTGTGCAGAGTTCGAACTGGTCTTCCTTCTTGGGCGTGTGTGAACAAGTCTTTCATCTCTTGGATAGATTCTTTGCTGTCACAAAAGAAGTGGCCGATCATGTAGTCTCTACATGCTTTGGCAAACGAAATTTCTTTTGACAGGGTCTGAACTACTTGATTGAACTCTTCAAGTGCTTCTTTGCTGATCTTGTTTGTGTAATCACTGGCTTCTTGGGGATCTTTGAGGTGGATCCTGAAAACAGCTGCGTCAGGTGATGATTTAGAAAAAGATAGATACCTGGCTCTTCTGAAATATGTAGAGATGTTCTCCTTAGTCTCCTTGTTGTATCTAAAGATCAGTCTCTCCCTAGATATGCTCTTGGTTATTGGTTATGTGTTGTCATCAGATGAATCATCCCCAGGGGTTGGATCTTTTACAAACAAACCATACTCTTCATCTTCTGAGAATTTCTCTTGAAGCTCATTGTCACATGTGTAAACCATGTTGCAAGATGCATAAGTGTTGGATTCTTCCTTTTCCTTTGATGCTTGTGCAGTGATTGAGAAGACAGCTTGATCAAATAACCTAGGTCTGGTCACATGAGGTCGGTTTTCTGATGAACAGGCTTCAGAAAGAGGTTGAAAACTCTCCCAGTCTGAGAAATCATGCTCCACCGCGGGTGAGGAGCTCGGAGCCGCGGTGGGAGTGGCTTTGGCCGCGGGTGAGGAGCTCGCAGCCGCGGTCAGCTCCCTCCGGCTCTCCATGCTTGCTTCTTCAATCTCTTCTTCTCCATTGTTGTTCTCTTGCTTCCAGTGGTTGTCAGGCTCGTCTTGGGTATCCAAATCATTGATTCCAGAGTTCAGATCACACTCCTTATGATCTTTAGAAAGTTTTTCAACTTTCTCTTCTACTTCATCCAAAGCATAGACAACTTTGTCTAAAGTAGCATCAAGCTCTTCTGTCTTGTTTGTGATCTTTTCCATCTCTTCACTCATCTCTATCTTGTCTCCATCAGAGTACCACTTGCTATCTTTGAAATCTCTCTCCAAATCTTCAAAATGACATTGCAGCCTCTCTGCTCCTTAAGTGCTTGACGAAGGGCGATGGTGTTCCTAGCCTCGCCTTCTTCGATGTCTTTAAGTCTCTTCTCTAGAACTGCATCATCTTTGAGCTTTTGCGTTTCTAGAGTCTTCATTCGGTCAGAGAAACACTCGAACTTCCTACTAAAATCAGAGGACATTGATTCCAATTTCACACAAAGGTTAAATTCAGCAATAGCTTGTAGATCAAGAAACTCATTCAGTGTAGTGTCTAATCGATCCAGTTGGAGCCTAAATCGAACAGCTTCAGCGTTTTGGTGCAGAATATGATGAGGAAGAGGATGAGATGGTTGACGGTTCACCAGGTGTGGCGAATAGGGCTCATCTCGGTGGTGTGGAGGTCGCGAGTCTCCATGGTGGTGATTCAGATTAGGGTTCCAAAGATGATGATCAAAATCACGCCTGGAGGGTGATTCACATGCGCAAGGAGCTTCACACAGGTCGCAGGACCTTTGCTCGGGGTTAGGGTTTCTTCTTGTATGATCCATGCTTCAAAGGTTTCTGAAACTAGGGCAAACAGAAGTAAGAATAAGCAGAAAAAGAAAAAGTTAGGGTGTTTATGAATTTGGTTTACTTCCTATGTCGCTTTGGCAGAAACTCGACATATATATAGTCGTCAGCGGCTTCAACCTCCCAGGTTTAGACCTCCAGCGACTTCATGCCTCCTCCGCAACGGCGCCAAAAAATTGATGGGCTTGCGGGCCTATGGTTGTTTCTTAACAAGCCCGTTGGTCCTCCAAAAGTTTTAAATTTATAAAACCCTAGTGTCTGCAAGTGCACA